GCACTTACTGCCCTTCTGGCCAAGCAGCAGGGCACAGTGGTGAGCCTGGGGCCGTTGTAGACTGGCTACAGCTCAGCTCCAGGCCCTGTTTCTAGTCCTTTGTGACCGTGGGAGGGAACTGGTCTCAGACTCTCGGGTTAGAGTGAGAGAGGGGAAGGAGTTCAACCTCAAGGAAATGCCTTTGAGACCAGCTCTTGCCCTTCTAAGCTTAGGCCCAACACTTACCAGAAGCCAGACCAAGGAGCAGACGGAGTGGTAGTGTCATTGTACAGAAGTGGGTAGGCACAAGTCGGGGACCGTGGCCAGCTGCTAGGACAGCACGAACTGCTGCACAGTTTTCCGCAGTGACCGTCACGTCACCAGCAGGCAGGCCATTTCCTCTGAGAACTCGGTGAGCCGCTTCTGGGCCTGGTCATGGGTAACCATGGTCATGGCCCATCCATTCACCCGCATGAGCTTGTCTCCAATTTGCAGCCCGGCAATTTTAGCAGGACATCCTTCAGAAGCCCACGTGATGCAAATGCCCTTGTCTGTCTTCTCTTCAGAGAAGGAAATCTGGGAGGGATCCTGGTCAATTCCACCTCCAAAGCAGAAGCCCAGGATTAAGTTCTCACCTGGGCGCAGCTTATAAATTTCAACTCTGCGCCGCGACAGTAACAGGTTGACCCGGAATACAAGACATCTCGATCCCAATTCTCTCCATCAAGAACTGTTCCATGCAGCTTGCAGGAAAATTATCTTGAACCTTTCTATAACTATCTTTGTTTCTCCAAGTTCATAGAGTGTCCAGAGGCATGCGGTTTACGAAGTGGATGCCGCTTCGGCTTCCAAACCTGTCTTCAACTGGGAGTTCCGCCAAACACTGTCCACTATGGGCAGCTGTTAGGGCATTTGATCCTTTCCCTGCAATGGCACAAGGTTTGGCATCACAGCAATCCCAGATTACCTCAGTGCAGCAAATTGACAGAGGAGTGCTGTACAACTTACAAGAATGTTCCTCCAAATTATGTGGTTTAAAATTTAAAAAGGTGTGCATCATTGATTCTTTCTCCGTACCTATTTAATCTGCATACTGAGTAAATGATGAGAGAAGTTGGATTCTATGAATAAGAAGAATGTGGCGTGAGGGCCTGAAGAAGAATTATCAACAACCTGCACTCTGTTCTGCATTTGACATAACCTTGCTTGCTGGAAGAGCTTCCTGAAGAAGGTTGCACGCTGCAGCCTTCGTTCGATACGGATTGCATCTCCACCACTCCCAATAATGACCTTATTATTCGCCACAACTCACCAGAGAAAAGCAGGAATAGAAATTGGGAGGTCATGGCGGCGTCTCCGGCCTCTTCCAGTGATACTGTTCCGACTTCACTCTCTGTATTGCCCAAAACGTCCTCGCGGCTCCAAAATATAAAGTGACAGCTTTTGCTCTTTTTCATTCTCTGCATTTACATACCCAACAGTTTTCTGAGATCACAATCCGGAAATGACTACTGTGAATTGCAAAACCCTCTCAAGTCACTTCCCACTTCCTTAACGAGGATCTTCATCTGACACAGAGCTCTGGCCTTCAAATTACAGCCCAAGGAGATGGATCTGAACAGAACGCATCAAATCCTGATAGCTATAATCTCCTTCTGGAGGAATGAAAGGACCTATATAGCAGCCCAGAACGGTCTCTGTCTTAACAGCAATTAAGTCTGTCTTAACAGCAAGGCTTTCTGGCGTCCATGGTGAGACATGATGCCTGTGAATTCTGGGAGATGCCTCAAGAAATGTGAAGACTTAGAGCTGGATCAGAGCCGATAACGAAGAGATCTGACGTTTAAGGGTTCATAAGGGAGGGGTTTGTGAGGGCCTGTAATTTCAGAAGCAAATGGCCAGTGTTGCTTTTTATTCTGTCTTTTTTATTATTATTAATTTTAATGAAAATTGACAGAGACTTAGGATTTCCATTCATTCATTGTTGCACTTTTCTCCAGGTCTGTAGGAGAAAGCCATCCTGACCTCTCTTGGCTCTGGCATGAACAACACTATTTTGCCCGTGGACTTCATTTCACATACCCACCGCGGACACGCAGTGGCCAAGCTCAGCATAAGGCAGCCCCACCGATCCCTGGGAAACTGCTTGCCTAGATCAGTGTGATTCACTGCCTTAGGGCGTGCCCCTCCTACCTGCTGTAAAGGGTATTTGGGAGCTGGGCTTCTGTAGTTCCCCTATAAATATCTGTGAAATTACTGCATAAACTGGGGCTTGATCAGATGCGTTTGTCTTGCCCCCAATTTTTCTCACCTCTTGTCGCCCCCCCCCCATCCGCACTCCTCTTTTAGAACACGTGGAACCCGCAGGTCGTACACTCTTCTCTTCGAAAAGTAAAAGAAAAGTTCCCTTCCCCCAGGTCCATTCCACTATGCAGCCTTCATTCAGGACTCCCGTCATGACAAAAATACCTAATCACATATCCCTTTTAAACAGTTCTCTCCCTCATCTGTTTCAATGCAGTATACATAATTGATCCCATCTTTCTCAGTTTCCCCCCAACCCCGATGTCAGTCCCGTTTTACAACAGTGGCACTATACAATATTTGTCCTTTTGTGACTGAGATATTCCACTCAGCATAATGTCCTCCAGGGTCACCCTTTTTGAATAATATTTCATGAGTTCCTTATTTTTCAATGCAGCGTAGTATTCCATTGTGTGAATGAATATACCAGAGCTTCTCTATCCATTTGTTTGTTAAGAGCCTTCTCTTTCTATGACCTTCTACATCCCCCGGCAGGATGTCTTTTTCCAAGAAATAGTCCCCTCTTGACAACATGCCCAAAAGTCAGTGAGACGAAGTTTCACCATCTTTGCCTCTAAAGAGCACTTTTCTCCAAGACATATCTGTGTGTTCTCTTGGCAGTCGATGGAATATTGGGCACTTTTCTCGAACAGCCCAATTCGAAGGCATTGACACTTTTTCTGCCACGTTTATTCATTGTCACAGAAGTTAGTTTGTTTGGGGGGCAGGTTATATGAGCCTCATAGACTACAGATCTTTATTCATTATCTGACTTTGACATGCACAGCTGCACAGCAAGTGACTGGAAAGACCATGGCTGTGATCAGGTGCAACATAGTCTTTAAACTCTCATCCTTGCTCACTAGCACTTTGGAGGGGACCCTGACAGCCGATTTTCCCAAGACAACATGTCTTTTGCTTTCCTGGCTGCTGTCACCATGGGTTGTGAGTGTGGATCCACGCTAAATGACAACTTGACAACTTCAATCTTATCTCCACTTAACTCTATGATGTTTGCATGCAGCTAATGGGTTCAGATGGTCCGAATCCACCAGATGCTCTGCTGGAGAAGGGACAATCTCCTCCTGTGCCAGTTGGATCCCACTCGATGGTACACAACAAGAAGGGGAAAAAACAAACTGTGACGAAAGGGCATAACAGAGAGGATAGAAGGAGAATTGATGCCTTTGAGCTGTGGTGCTGGAGAAGAGTATTGAGAATACCATGGACGGCTAGGAAAACAAACAGATTTGTCCTGGAAAGGGTTAAACCGTTGGAGGCAAGGATTCTGAGGTTCCGTCTAACATACTTTGGACATGTTGTAAGGAGAGACCAGTGCTTGGAGAAGGACATCATGCTTGGGAGGGTGGAGGGACAGCGCAGGAGGGGAAGGCCCTCTATGAGGTGGATTGATTCAGTGACTGGGATAATTGGGATGGGAGTGTCGGAGACAGTGCTATTAGCACAGGACAGAGCAGAGTTTAGGGCTGTTGTACATAGGGGTCGCTATGAGTCGCAAGTGACTCGATGGCACATAACAACAATAACATAATGAATGGGAATGATTTAATGAAACGCATGTAAATGAAGAATAGGATGAAACTATATATATAAACTTTGTAAGCAAATCAATATAATTTTTTTTAAATAAAAAAGACTGCATCCTGGGAAACTCTTTACATAAAGGAAGTGCAGGCAGGCACCTCTGCAGAGGCAAGAATGTTGAAGCTGGTCTTACACACTTTGGACCTGTGGTCAGGAGGTGGCCAGAGCTTGGACAAAGGTATCACACTGATAAAGGTGGAGGGTCAGAGGAGAGGAAGGCCCTCAGCAAGGTAGACTCACACAGTGTCTGTCACAACAACACCAAACATCCTAGCAGAGGTGATGCAGATGACGCAGGACAGGACAGGAGTTCAGATCTGTTATACATAGGTCATTGTTGTTCATAGGTCATTGTGACTTGAGGCCATTTAACAACCCTTTTCTATAGGGTTTCTAGGAACCAGAGTGGACTTCAGAGCAACAGGGGTGTTTGTTTGGCTAACTGGAGTTGTTTGTTGTATTTTGTTTTGTCAAGTGTTGGTGTGTAAGGGTTTGTTTTTTTTTTTAAATCTTTGATTTATTTATCACCTCAGGTGGAGAAATGACCTGGAAAAAGGGAGTGCTTAGATGAAGGAACGCTGGACATATAAAGCTGGGTCAGTTAGGACGGAAGAAGGGTGGCGCAGTGGTTAAGTGCGTGGCTTCTGACATGCACACCCCAGATGCCGCAGCCTGCGTCTGTAAACACTGTTGTTCTTGTCAGGGGCTGTGTGGAGTCGAGCTCTGTAAAGATTGTGTACCGTAGAGTCGTAGAGTCGGAACCAATCCACAGCTGACCCTCAGGCAGTTTTCCAGGGCAGTTAATCGCACAGGAGGAGATAGTCCATCCTTCTTCCAGGGAGCTTCTGGTGGCCTCGAACCATCTGCCTTCAGGACTGCAGTGCAGCTTCTTGCCACAAGGCCACCAGAGCTCCCTTCCAGGTATCTCTGTCCTCTGTGGTGGCAGCGTGCTGGAATCCAATCCACAGAAGTGGGTTTGGGGGCGGCGGGTATATGAGCCTCATAGACTAGGGATCCCCCAAATTGCCAGGTCAACCCCAAGGAGCACAGCTTCTCCTCCATCTGTCACTGGTCTTCTCATGCTGGTGACTTTATCCTTGTTGTCCTGGGACTCAGGGCCGGGGGCCACCGGGGCCATTGTTCCTGCTGCCACAGTCAAAAGCCACCAAGGCGCAGAGACAGATGAGGACGAGGCCGGCCAGCCCCAGGCGGATGAGGTTCCCCCGAGTATAGTCCGAGGACAGATCGCCTGTGGACGGAGCGGAGGCACAGCCAGTCAGCGCGCAGTCCTGTAGTCTCTCCTGTACACCCGGGGTGGCCATCACTCAAACCCCAAAGGTGGAGTTGGACACGGACAGAGGACGATGGGGAGGGGGTGGGGGGCGCCAAGGTCTAAGAGGAGGGGAATAGTGGGGGCAGGGATTCCCTAGTCTGAGGGAGGAGGGCCTGTGGTCAGCACTCTGGGGCCTGAGGCGGAGCGCGTGGGGTCCTGGACTGCCGGGTCTGAAGGGAGAGAGGCTAAGGGCCCTGGACTCCTTGGTCCGGGGGCCGAGAGGGTGGGGTCCTAGATTCCGGGATCCGGGGGCGAAGGGCGTGGGGTCGTGGACTCCGAATCTGGAGGCAGAGGGCGTGGGGTCCTGGACTCCCGGGTCCTGGGGCAGAGGGCATGGGGTCCTGGACTCTTGGGTGCGGGGGCAGAGGACGTGGGGTCCTGGATTCCTGGGTCCGGGGGCGGAGGCATGGGGCGTGGATTGCCGGGGGCGGAGGCGTGGGGTCATGGATTGGGGGGTGCGGAGAGCGTGGGGTCCTGGATTCCCAGGGGCGGAGAGCGTGGGGTCGTGGACTCCCGGGGGCGGAGAGTGTGGGGTCCTGGACTGGGGGGAGGGGCCGGAGGGCGTGGGGTCCTGGACTCCCAGGTTGGGGGGGGCCGGAGGGCGTGAGGTCCTGGACTCCCAGGTGCGGGGCGGAGGCATGGGGGCGTGGACTCCCGGGGGCGGAGGCGTGGGGGCGTGGACTCCCGGGGTGGGGGGTGGGGGGCGGAGGGTGTAGGGTCCTGGACTCCCAGGGGCGGAGGGGTTGGGGTCCTGGACTCCTAGGGGCGGAGGGGTTGGGGTCCTGGACTCCTAGGGGCGAAGGGCGTGGGGTCCTGGACTCCACTGGGGGGAGGGGCCGGAGGGCGTGGGGTCCTGGACTCCCAGGGGCGGAGAGCGTGGGGTCGTGGACTCCCGGGGGCGGAGAGTGTGGGGTCCTGGACTGGGGGGAGGGGCCGGAGGGCGTGGGGTCCTGGACTCCCAGGTTGGGGGGGCCGGAGGGCGTGAGGTCCTGGACTCCCAGGTGCGGGGCGGAGGCATGGGGGCGTGGACTCCCGGGGGCGGAGGCGTGGGGGCGTGGACTCCCGGGGGCGGAGGCGTGGGGGCGTGGACTCCGGGGGCGGAGGCGTGGGGGCGTGGACTCCCGGGGGCGGCGGGCGTGCGGTGCGCGCTCACCTTCCCAGCTCACCACCAGTGGCTCGCTGCGCAGGGACAGCACGTAGGGCGCGGAGGGCGTGTGGTAGTAGCAGCTGTAGGTGCCGGGCGCGCGGGCGGCGGTCAGCGGGAAGTCGGCCCAGGGCTGCGCGCCGTCGCGGTACTGCAGGGGCGCCGCCTCGCCCGCGCGGTACAGCGCGAAGCTCATGCCGCCCACGCGCGCCGCGCAGCGCAGGCTCACGTTCGCGCCGCGCGCCACCACCGGGCCCGGCAGCGCCAGCAGCGTGGGCTTGGGCAGCGAGTCTGCGGGGCGCGGGCAGCTGCGGGGGACGGTCCGCGCAGGTCCCCTCTCCACCCCTCCTCCGCGCCTCCTCGTCCTCCGCCACCCTAACTCCTCACACGCTCCTCATCCTCCCATCTCTTCCTCAGTCTTCTCCCCTTGCCCACCATCCTCCTCCGCAGTCCTCCTCATCTTACTCCCCCAACACCCTCTTCCCCACCCTCCTCCCGATCACCCTCCTCCGCATGCTCCTCCCCTACAGCGTCCTCCCTGTCTCCCTCCTCCCCGTGCTCCTCCCCATCACCCTCCTTCCCATGCTCCTCCCTACAGTGTCCTCCCAATGCTCCTCCCCCTATGGCCTCCTCCCATCACCCTCCTCCCCATGTTCTCCCGTACAGCCTCCTCCCCATCAGCGTCCTCCCCGTGCTCCTCATCACCCTCCTCCCCATGCTCCTCTCCATCATCCTCCTCCCCATGCTCCTCCTCCTACACCCTCCTCCCCCTCCCTTCTTCCCTCCTCCCACTTACATCCTCCTCTCCACGCTCCCTTCCACCCCACCCTCATCTCTCTCCATCCTCCTCTGTCCTCCCTCTTCTGTCTTTTCCCTCCTTAGGCACTCTCCCCTCCGTCTCCTCCTCCTCCTCTACCTACATCCGTCCCCACCTGCCTTCTCATCCTTCAACATCATCCTCCTCTTCCTTCTACATCCTCCCCTCCACCCTCCTCTTGACACCCTCCTCCCTGCCGTCCTCCTCCACTCTGTTCTTCCCTTTCCCCTCCTCTGTCCACAACCTCCCCTTTCGATTCCCCTTCCCCTTCCCTCCTTCTGCATCTTCCCACCTCCATCTTCTCCTTCCTCTTCCTCCATCCTTCCCCTCCTCTTCATTCAGCCTCTCCCTCCTCCACCCCGCTCCTCCCCTTCCTCCACCCTGACCCCACTTCCCCCCCACCCCACCTTCCAGCCTTCCTCTCTCCTCCTCCTCTGCTCCCTCTTCCGTTTTCTCCTCCACCCCTGCGCTCCTTCTCCTTGTCTTCCTCCGTCTTCCACCTCCTTGGCTTTTCTTTCCCTCTCCTCATGTCTCACCCGGGTTCTCCCTGTCTCCCTCTCTCTCCTTCTCCGTGTCTTCCTTGGATTGCCCACTCTGTCTGTCTCCTCATCCTCCCCAGACTGTCTCTCCAAGCATCCCTTCTCTCTCTCTCTCTCTCTGTCCCTCTCCTTGCACGAGCCTCTCTCCCTCATTACATCCCCCCCTCTGTGTGTGTGTGTGTGTGTGTGTCCTTGTTATCTGCACCCTCTCCTTGCACGTGCCTGTCCCATCCCTTCTCTCTCTCACCACATCCCTTCCGCGTGCACTTGTATCTCAGTGTGAGTCTCCCTGCCTGGTTTTCAGCTGCTGTGTCTTTGGGTCTTTCTCCTTGCGTTCCTCTGTTCCTCCACTGTTCTCAGCCTCCGCTTTAGTATTTGGGGCTGGATGTCCTCGGGAAAGGGCATCATGCTCGGAGAGGTAGAAGATGAGAAAGAGAGGAAGACCCTCGAGGAGTTGGCCTGACAGTGACTGTAGCGGTGGACTTGGCATCTGTCAGAGACAGCGATTGTGAGGACAGCGCAGACCAGAGTAAGACTACAGTGCTGTCCAGCCTCACAGGGTCGCTGTGAGTCACAGGTGACTGAACAACACCTCAGAACACTTTCTGTTGGGAGAGAGGGAGGGATGTCCCTCACACTAAGTTTAGCAGATCTCTGGTCACTAGACCCCTGGTTTCCACCCACTAGAGGCCGGTCACACATATCCTCTCAAGCTATAATGATGAAAAAATGCCTCCACCTGTCACTAGGGGTCACCTGGCCCATTTGATATTGAGTCTTCTCTGACGTGGAGTGACCCTGCAGGATGAGGCAGGGCCACCCCGTGGAGCTTCCAAGGCTGCACTCTGCTGAAGCCAATCACCAAGGCTTCCTCCACTGACTGCTTTGTCACAGTCGCTGAGTTGGGACCACCCCAAAGTGACCTTCCAGTGGGATTTCAGCGACTGTAGATCACATGGGGAGAGACTGCACATCTTCCTCCTGAAAAGCAGCTGGTGGCATTGAACCATCTGCCTCTGGGTTGGCAGCACGACTCCTTACCCGCTAGGCCACCAGAGCTCTCTCTGCTCAGGCCCACCTTACTCCTCAAAGTGACATCCTTGCTTAACACTGTAAAGAGACCTTTTGGCAAAAGTGGCGTAGTCTGTTGGCAGTGGCGCTGATGGCCCAAAAGCCGTCCCTCTTGGGGGATTCAAACCCACCGAAAACTTAGGACAGTCTCCTCCAGTGCAATTTACAGCCTCAGAGACACCCCCCTCCCCCCAGAGGGTCAGAGGAAAGGGCAGTAAGTGACTTACACTTGGAAAAGTAGGGAGTGCAAGAAGCCCCTCCCTACACTGGACCAACAGTGACCACAGCAGCAGGCTCAGACACCGTGGACATTGTGAGGATGTTGTACCATAAAACAAGGTGCTTGTCTGTCGTCACATTTATTTTTATGCCTCATAATCTACAAGATGGACTGTAACAACAACAGCAATATATATGTGTCTATGTATGTGTGGTGTTGCGTTAGCACTGACCCTTAGCTGACCCTCCAGCGGGTTTTTAGAGGCTGTAAATCATATGGAAGGAGATTCCCCATCTTCTTCCTGCAGAGCTGCTGGTGGATTCGAACCCTGTGCCTTTGAGTTGGCGGCGCAAGAATGTGGCATCGGGATCGGAGGAAGATTCATCCATAACCTGTGTTACGCAGATGACACAACCCTGCTTGCTCAAACTGAGGAGGACCTGAAGCATTTGCTGCAGAAGGTCAAGGACTGCAGCCTTCAATATGGATTGAAGTTCGACATCAAAAAGACAAAGATTCTCACCACTGGGCCAATTGGCAGCTTCATGATTGATGGAGAAGAGATTGAGGTTGTTAACAATTCCGGCTTGCTAGGTTCCACTATCCACACTCTTGGCAGCAATCAAAAGATTAGTTGTGTTAGAGAAATCTGCTGTCCAGTACCTTTCAAAGGTGCTAAGAGTAATGACATCAGTCTAGAGACTTAAGGAGCGCCTGATCCAAGCCATGGTTTTTGCAATTGCTTGCTATGCATCAGAGAGCTGGACAATGACAAAGGATGACAGAGGAAGAATGGATGCCTTTGAGTTGTGGTGCTTGAGAAGAATCTTGAACATACCATGGACTGCCAAGAAAACAAACAGGTCTGTCTTGGAGAGGGTGAGACCAAGCTGTTCCTTAGAGGTAAAGATTTTGAAGCTCCATCTCACAGACTTTGGGCATGCTTCCGGAAGGGACCAGTTTTTGGAGAAGGACATCATGCTTGGAAGGGTGGAAAGACAGCACAGGAGAGAAAGATACTGGGAACACAGTAAGTGGGGTAATAGGGGCAGCTGTGTCAGAGACAGTGAGAATGGCTCAGGATAGGGTGGAGTTCAGAACTATTGTATACAGAGTCGCTATGAGTTGGAAGCAACTTGATGGCACATAAGAAAAACAATGAATGTGTGTATGCACTGCTGCCAACCCAAAGGTTGGCAGTTCAAGTCCACAACCTGCGCTGAGGGAGAAAGATGGGCAGTTTCCTCCTGTGTGGTTTACAGCCTCTGAAAACCTGCTGAAGGGTCAACTATAAGTTAGTTCCCACCTAATGGCCATGAATAGTTTTATTATGTAAATGTGGATGTGTGTATTCTCATATCTCACTCATTCTATGTCTCTCTGCCCTCTTCTCTCTTCCATCACACCCCCCACCCCCCGTGTCCCTTCTCTTCCTCACCCTGACCTCCTGGACTCACCTGTCACCAGCAGCTCCAGGACATCACTGGGTAAGGACCAGATCCCTGGTCCCCACCCTTGTCTCCTGTAGCAACAGTGGTACCTGCCTCCCTGGGCGGGGGTCACCTCCTCCAGAAAGAACTCCGCCACCTCCTCGGCCACATCCCGGAGTCTCCGTGGGGTGATCTCTCCATCCTTGAAGAGCGCAAACCTCCAGGCAGGTTGGGGAGCCCGGCACCTCAAGGTCACATTGATTCCGGGAGTCACGATGGTACGGGGCAGAGCCTCCAGCCATGGCTTGGGGTGGGAGGCTGGGGGGGGTGGACAGAACAATCAAGAAGGTCTGGGTCCTGGGGGTCTCCTGGGAGCCCAGGGAGATGAAGGGAGAGGTGTGGAAAGAGGGAGGTCCCCTTGGGCACTCACTGTCCTTTTCTTGGCCTCTGTTCATTGTTTGTAAGATGAACCCCTCACAACTAGCTTCAGTTGAGAGGTGGTTGTTGCAGTTAGATGCTCTCCAGTTCACTGTGACTCCTAGCAACCATATGAACAATGGATCTGCCCTATCCTGTGCGTGACACACTCGGGCCCGTTGCTATAGTCACCAGGCAGCATTGATGGGGTGGTAGTGATAAGTTCAGAATTCTCT